ACCTGCTACCATTCCGCGATAAAAAGGTGAGAGAAAGTAGAAAAAAACTGTTTCTTGCTCATTGCTCTATCAAATCATTGCAAAAAATAGAGAAACATCAATAAGATCGCTATCGCACATATAAAAATAACAGCTATCGTTTACTAATGTCTTCGAATTTATAAAAGATTTTTCACAGATGATTTAATGACTTTTAACTTCATGCTCATCATAGACTTATTTGATGAATACAAATCCAACGATATATTTCTTACTAGTAATAAGTGGACAAACTTCAAGGATTAGAAAATTTGTTTGTGAGGTAGACACAGCATGTTCTTGAAAGATTCTGAGTATTTTGCTAGATCAGCTAATATATTTAAAGAATTCTAATTTTATTCTTAGAGTCGATGATATCATTGAAGAATTAGGAATAGAGAGTGATGCTGATTATCAACATATTGTGTTTTGTACGAGTGATTTTCCAAATCGATATTAACCTGCTGAGTCTTGACATGAACTCGTGTCAAGATTCATGAGATGATACTCTACGAAACCAAACTATAAAGTCTTATTTAAACGATTAAAAAAATGAATAGTAGAAAAAAATCATTGATTGTTTCTGTTTAATGTGTCATATATGATCTGAAAAGTCTAATCAGTTTTAAGCAGACGACTATGATAATGCTGGCAGATAACGCACCATTAGACATACATCAAAATTAAAACAAACTAGTTTTGATTTTAGTATGCTTTTGACATCACAATATTAATTTTGATATGGCTTTTCGTATTGTTTGTTTTTTTGATGTTATAGTTTTGAAAGGAGAATGTTGAGACTGAATATTGATGTAGAAGTCGATGAGATTCATCTCCTTACTCACATCACTATTTATACCGATAGCTAGACGCATACATTCCAAAACCATCTTCACCTACACCAATCTCCAATTCATATTTGTCTAATATCTAAATTGAATATAAACTATTGTTGTTCTATGAAAGCTGTCTTTTGAATTCTTCGAAGGACAACCATCCGTTAACCAACGGTTTTTAGCCGATCCAAACAACATGGGATAAAATTTATTATATTAGATAATATGAGTGAGACATCACGTTCTTACTCACACTATCTCATATATTAGATTTCATCCGTTTTAAATATCGCATTGTCAACATATCAATTTCTCAAAAAAATATTTACACCTAATCTCAAGTTTTATGTAAAAACCCAAATATTTTAAAAAACTGATATGTTGACAATGTGATATGCAACAGGAATGAAATTTCATATATGTCATGATTCAAGTGAAACCTTCATATATACAAAGGTGAAACTCGAAATTCAAAAATATGTTTTTTATCAAAATTACTCGGCAAGAAGGAGTCTGACAAAAAGCAATTATCTTACATGCATCTCAGTTAGTTGAGGAAACGCTGTTCTGTCGTAAACGATTCTTTACTTGAAAAAAAAAGGTTTAATATTCAAGAATCATCTTCGTCTTACTTGTAACTTGACCATTCATCTAATTTTATTAATTTGATGATGGACAATACACGTTCGTTCTTTTTCTCAATACATTCCAATGAGTAGGTCTCAATTTGTTTTCGAAAAAGCATAAGTTAAATCTTTAATAAGTTAAAATATTTATTTAAAGAAATGAAAGTTCGGCATCTATATAACATAAGACATGAGTAGAAGTCTTTTCTACAAACTTTTCTTTTTGTTTTGATATTTCTTCAAAAGACTTCTATTCATGCCTTATGTTTTATAGATGCATGAACTTTCATTTCTTTAAATAAATATTTTAACTTGTTGAAAATTTAACTTCTACTTTTTCGAAAACAAAATGAGATCTACTCATTAGAATGTGTTTAGATATTACAAAAACCTGACTACACTCTTTCTTCTGACACATCGATCGTTTTTTTTAAGTTTTTTTTTCTATACTCCTCGTAGGTAATTAGAAATTTGTCGATCGCTCAAGGATGATGCGTATATTCTATCGAAATCTTCTCAAGTTTTCGTTATGAATTCTCAAGTCTAGTTAATTCTAATATCTATGGAGAAATATATAATTAGTTACAAAGTTGTGATTTATGATAATCTCGATGAATAATGAAAGAAGAATCTCTATTAGTTTATTAATATCAGATATGTATGTGATAATGAAACTTAGATTTTTAAGAAGAATTAATGAATTGATACGACAAACGAAAAATTCTAGGGGAAAAATACCATAGATAAAACGATGTCAATTTTTTGGTATATTTTATCAAAAGAAAATATCGAACAACAACACTATTGACGTACTTCTAAAATTTATTCTTTGTTGAGGCTATTCTTTTCTCATTCTTTAACAGTCATCTTTGGTAGATAAAAAATAATTTATTGCTACAAAAGTTAATAGAGCAGCTAAGTTTTTTATTTGATTACTGTAATCTTTATAACTTACACATTTATCATCTATCTGTTCTTTTAAGATTTATACTGAAAACGGAATATATACTCAGCATTATATTCGTTTTATGGTATAAGAGTGAAAAAATTAAAGTTTCTTCGCATAAGAGTTTCAATCGACAACGAACTCAGTAAAATAACAAGTTCTCAAAATGAAATCATTAATGAAACTAAGCTATTTAACATTTTTTTTCAACTGATTTATTAAGATCAATCAATATGACGTTTCGTTCTAACTAAGAACATCATCAAACACAAATAAATAGACAGAAGAAGAATATATATAAGAGTAAAATAATGTCTTCGTTTTTCTATTCTATTGTTTTAAACATTCTAATGCAGACGGATCCATTTTACTCCCCTCCGTGCATTGAAATGCTTAAAACAATAGAATAAAAAACGAAAACATTATTTTACTCTTATATATATTCTTCTTCTGTCTATTTATTTGTGTTTGATAATGTTCTTAGTTAGAACGAAATGTCACACTGATTGATCTTAAGAAATCAGTTGAAAAAAATGTTAAATAGCTTAGTTTCACTAATGATTTTATTATGGAATGTGGTGCTACCAAATGACAAATAAGTTCTATATTATATATATTTTTTCTACGAATATCGTATTTTGTCAACTATCTCGATAGAATGTATAAGACAGTTTTCCACAAATACTATCCTAAGAGAAAGCAAAAATAAACGCAGAACGTAAGGTGAAACTAAATCCTCTACATCGTTCAATTCTGAAGACTTCTTCTATTAGAGTTATCTGAATCTTTTTGCTCAGATTTTCTAAGCTCGACCAACGGTCAATGAGAATCCTTATTCACAATTTGTATAGAGTAAATATGTGAATTTCTTCGTAATCTGAATTGTATTTTAGATTAAATTCAGATATCATTCATGTATCTTATCTTTGTGTGCATTGACATCGCTCGTAGAAGTGATGTTTACTTATTGAGCAATCTTCATCGAATGAATGTGCTGAACGAATTTATTTTCTTTTTTTGTCCTTCTCTAACGTTATTCTTTTTTCCTTTCTTTTCTTTCCTATCTCTCCAATTTGATTAAGACTAACAATCAATTACTAAGCATATGAGATCCGTTCTGTTTATGCCACATACATTTGTCGAATATATATTAACTGAAAGTATTACTCTCTTTTGACTTGACTAGAGTTTCTAATTCGATTATATAGCTCATAATTAATAATGTTGTATTGCTTGTCATAAAACGAGTTTCAATTAGCTCATATACTGATGAGTTGATAATTTGTAATGAAAACTCTAATGCAACAATTTTATGTTTGAGAATATTAGGAACTTATAATTTATCGTACGTTTCGAGCTTTGAACATAATCAAAAAATTCGGATTTCAATGTGAAAATTGAGACTTTAAATCAATAAAATCAACTTGTATTTTCTCGATATTCTAATGTTCGTACCAACACATGATTTTGATTCATATGATGTTAATGTTAGGCGGATTCTTCCTTTAATCAAAGGAAGTCTTTTTTGCATAATTAAATCTACAGCGAACACTTTTTTGAAATAATTCAGCAGATCAAAAGATAAATGGAAGCTCCAAACGGACTAAATGTCTTTCACGCGTACTATGAAACAAGAACCAGCCCCCCCCCCCCCCCCCCCAAAAAAAAAAGATTAACCTACGTTGAGTATTTACAGCTGTTTTCGTTGGAAAAGATGATCATAAATATTTCTCACTATCTCTTACGAAGAAGAAAATGACTTATATAACCATTTCAGAGACTATTTAATGTGAATAACGCTTGGAAACGCTGACTAGACGTAAAAACGGCAAGAAAAGTGATGATGACATTTTTTGTTGCCGTTTATCACCGTTTCCTAACAGAACGGGTGATTATAACAGTTTAAACGGTATTTTCAGCGTTTCACTTCTTCCTGGGATATGAAAAATAAATGAAATCTTTTCAGACTACGCTATTCTCGTGATTCAAAGTTATTATTATAACATCTGCTAACAATTTTTGAAAATTAAAAAATAATTTTTTTTATCCAGTAAAAACTCCTTTAGCGTGTCTAAGATGTCATATAAAGTGTGATATGATAAATAATTGATTTGTGCGAACATTAAAAAAAAAAAAGGTTTTCAAATATTTAAAACGTAGAATGCCGGTCTTGTTATTTTTCATCAATTCATATTAAATATTTTTTTAGAAAATTATGAAATCAAGAAAAAATATGTCGAACATAAATTATCCCATTTCGACAAATTGAATTAACAAGATATTTTGTAAATTACTTTTTTGAAGAAATTTCACGAAATCAATATTAACTTCACCAATAGAAAGTAATTAGCAACAGCAGCTACATCATATTTTAATCTCGCAAGGATTGTACAAACAGTTTTTTTTTTTTGACTTTCTTTGTTTTTCATTGAAAAATCATATCAAACAAACAACAACACTGCAAAATAGAAGAGAAGAAAAATAATAATAATAATAATAATAACAAATCAAAACAGAAACATATATAGACGGACGGATATGATGTGTAAAGTTTTGTTTTGTGGAAGAAAAACCGACAAGATCAAAGAGAACACAACCAAACCAAAGAAAAAAAAATAATAATATTTAAAAAAAAAACAAACAAACGAAACAAAGCATAAAAACAGCGAGAGAGATGCAAATTCTGGGAGCGAGAAAAAAAAAACAATCTTCTATTCTAGCTTAATTTCACACAAAGCAGGAGTGTGCTAAAAATACATGTGCTACTCATTAAATTTCAAATAGTTGCATATGAACGATAATTCGTTCTTTATTGTGTGCATGTGTATTCAAATAATTGAAAAAAAAACAAAACAAAACAAAAGAAACATTTGCTATTATTAAGAGTGAAAAAAAAAGAGTCGAAAAAGAGAAAAAATAATAATAATAATAATAACATATTTGCTTTTTAGCACAAAGAAAGAAAGAAATAAAAACAAAATATGTTTTTTTTTTTTTTTGTAAACTATTTCATTGTTGTTGCTGTTGTTGTTGAGATGTAGTATATTCAACATCTGTTGGATGATCTTGATGCATGAGTGCTAAGCGCTCTTGAATTGCTTCTGGTTGATGTTGTTGTCTTCGATCAAATAAATAACGTTTACCTTGTGTATCAATAAACATTTGTCCATCAGTACAATCAGCACGAAGTATCATCGTACTATTATCACTAAATGTAACACGATATGTTCCTTTTAATAATGGATCAATAGATCTAATTGATAATGTATTTGTTGATATTAAACCAGGATTTGTTGTTGTTGTTATTGTACCACCACTTGCTGTAGAATTTAATGATGTTGTAGACGTATAATTATGATTCATATTTGTTGTTGTTTGACGATTTGATAATGATGATGATGATAAATTTTCTGGTGCATATAATGGTGATGATATTTGTTGTGGATGTATAGATAATGGACGAGATATTGATCCTTGTGGTGTATATGTTACTTGATGATGATAACCAGTTGTACGTAATGTTGATGATGATGTTGAATGATGAACATTCGTATTAGCTATACTTGCATTTGAAGATAATGGAGTTGCAGATGATGAATTTCGTACTCCTCGAACATCAGTATCAGATGCAAATATACGTCGAGTAGATGTCATTGATAATGGTGTACCAGCAGATGTTGGAGGTGCGATGCATAGTTCATTGACGGTTGATGATGAACCACCGAATTGTTGAGAAAGAGAACGACCAATTGAACAAGCAGAACCTTTTGTTTTTTTTTTTTGATTGAAAAGAAAAAACAAGAATTTTTTTTATTTAATGTATTCGGTTGATGTATAGGATCTATTACTATAATAGAAAATTACTAAAGACGTGTTCTGAAATAAATGATTGAAATATTTTCTGTAACACAACAATATTTAAACTGATATAGGTATAAATCTATGATAAATAAAATTTACATTGATTCTAACACATCCATCTTACTTCAAAACATCTGTTTAAACTAACCTACTTATTCATAATTATTTGATATGAGTTGTATAAACTGAAAACTATCAAATCATATTTTACGAGAGTGAGAGATCAATGATCATTGATTATTTTTCCATAGAAACTAAAGCCAACAGGCTTCGAATTCTTTCTACAGAGTTCCTTCGAAACAAAAAAAGACATTGAACGCCATTAGCAACAAACCTTAGACTGTTTTAGAATATTCGAAAACCTTTTTTCGAAATGTAGATGATTAAAATAAGTTTGCAAACGTTCGATTTAATACAGTTTGTTTTTTTAATATTTTTGTGCAAATAAAAATTCATATTTCAGATGTCATGGATAATGAGTAGTCATTTGGTCGATATAAAAAAGTGTGAAGTAATCATTCTATAACCTTAGAAGATAATTAATATCAGTCTTTCCTAGCTTATCGAGATACATAGTATTACGTTGAGATCTGTTGTAGATATGATCAAAAAAATGATCTTTTCCCATACAAATCAAATTCTATTGAAAATTCAATAAATCAACGAAGGAAAACTCTTTTCAACTAAAACTTTCAAGATATTATATGACTTATCTATAGGCAAAATTTTAGATAAGAACTCTGTATCCGATCTTTCCAGGAATATGAGTCAAAAATCCAATAACACTGATCGTAACTTGACGCCAAACGCAAATGGTAGCGTATTTGAATTAGCATAATGAGACTTCAGAACATATGTTAACTTTTTAAATAAAATTTGTTTTTTTTTTTTTTTTTTCTTTGACGATATGTAATTCTTTAAAAGATGACTCTTTCATAGATTAAAAAAATTCTACCTGGTCTATTCGTATCCGATTGTTGAGCATGTTTTTTTCCAAATTGAACTGGAAAAGCTTGAATTGAAGGAAATTGTCGTTGATTTTCTTCAAGTATTTGATCTTTTGATAAACAAAATGAATAAAACTATTAAAAAAAAAATAAATCATATATTTTATTATTTCATTATTTATTTTATTTTATTTTAAACATACTGTAATTGCATTATCAAGCATTTGTCGTATTTCAGGACTAAAATGTTCAATAGCAGATATATTTCGTGTTGCAACACGATCAAAATCTAATGATGATTCAGATTTATCAATATTATTAAGAATTTTTATTTTTAATGGATCATCATATTTAAAATTTTCACGATATATTGAGATTTTAACACCACATATAAAAACAACTTCAAAATCAACACCAGTTTCCATTAATGAACATTTTGCTTCAGGTGTATAAAGAATTATTTTTGCCATACGTGAACGAACTAATGTGACAAATCTTTAAAAAAAGAAAAATAAAACAAAATAAAACAAGAATTTTATTTTTTTTTTTTTGAATTACTTATGTGCATATTGATATTTTTTCCAATATTCTGATGGTAATTTATCAAATTCATATTCTTGATAAGCATTTTTATCACGTGGTATTGGTGGTGGATGATCACCAATAGGTGAACCATGACGACTATTTGGTGTATATGTTATTATACGTAAACCATCATTTGATACACGAAATACATCAACAATACGTCGTTTTGTACCTTTTGTTCTCATTGTTTCAAGTACAACTTCACCATTATCCATAATACTCATCTTATTTAATTAAAATTAATATATATATATATAATTTTTTTGTTTTTTCTAAATTAAACTTACAATAAATGATTTTGTTGCTTGACGAAGTGTTTTTAATCGTTGTGTATTTAATGGTTGAAGTTTTTCACGTATTTGTTCAGTATTTGTATCAAAATTTGATGTTGTTTGTTGTTGTTGTTGTTGTTGTTGTAATAAACGTTGTATTGTATTTGATGATGATAATGATGGTAATCCATTACGTACTAATGTTGATGGATAATTATTAGACATAAAATGATTACTATTATTATTATTATGAATGGATGCTTTTGAACTTGATTCAGATTTTGCACTAAAATCACGTGAAGATTTTGGATCAGATCGTGCAACACCACTATCTCGAGATAAAACTGATGATGTAGCACTATCTGGACGAGGATCATTTACATTATGTGAACCATTACTAAGCCAATCGGTTAGATTTGAATGAATATCATATGATGGACTAAAATATTTTTATATAGATTTTTTCAATTTATTTATTTTTTTTTTTTGAAATATAAAATACCTTTGTCGTCCGTGAATAGATTGTTGTTGTTGTTGTTGTTGTTGAGCAGGTGTAGAAGTTAAAACAGGATATACAAAAATATCATGTGGAATTTTATTACGTATACTTGTATTCATATAGATTGGTGTAGCATGATGTGATGGTGTTGGAGAAGATATTGGATCCGATCTGAAAGAAAAAAAAAAAAAATTATTTTAACAAAAACAAATACTGGCTTGCTGTGATATTCATCATATAGAATTATGATTACTATAGGTATCAAAATCATTTCGTGCGGTTATTTCATTGATTGACAAAAAAATGATTCTGATAGTTGAATCAGTTAACAATAGAATAATAAAATAAATTCTTGGTAAACATATTTTGAAGATATTTACCATTCGGTTAGGATTTGGAATATGACTGTTGGATAGAAATACACAGTTGTATTTCTTGAAACATTTGATTCCAGCGATTTTATTCTGAATCATTTAAAACCAAGTCTTCATGGAAGATTAGTCAAGTGACATCGTTTATTTTTGCTTTCAAAGCGATTTAAAGTTCTGATAGTGAGATTTTTTGAATCTTGAGTTTTCTACCAACAGAGACTAAACAATCGATATTTCAAAACTCTTACTATTGTGGGTTTTTATATCTTTTTGAAAGCAAAAATAGGCATTGCTTTTTTGACTGATCTTGGTCAATTATATCTCTACCAAGAACCTTTTTAGATGATTCAGCCCAGGTGATTCTCGCTCGGTCGGATCCCGTCGGATTCAAATAATTGCGTCTGTATCCTGTCGGATTTTTGTCGGAATCCCATGGGCCGGATTCCGACTGTCGGATCTGATCGGACACATGCAAAATCCGATAGGATTCTGTCGGATTTCGTCAGTTTTTATCGGATTCCGACGAAATCCTGACCGGAATCCTGTGCAAGGATTGCTTGTCTTGGGAGGGTGATTTCGCTGAAATCAGTATTTCCTCTATCGACCAACAAAATGTTGACAAAAATTTTGTATTAGAATCATTTCTCTTTCAATTAGTGAAAATCACAAGTCTGTGTCTTGTTAAACTTACGAATATTGATGAGCTGCATAATTTGCATTTGTTACCGAAGTACTGTTCAATACAGATCGTTGTCGTCCCATAGATACACCAAGACCACTATCAACAGATGCATTTGGTCCCAACTAAATACATAAAAATACATTCTTTTTTTATTAATATTTCATTTAATCTTACTAATGATAATTTTTGATAACTATTAGATTCGTTATACGAATGTGATGTACGTGAATAATCTTTTGAAAAAAAAGGATGATCACGAATTTCTAAATGAAATTCAAATATTTATTTTGATTTTTTAATTTCAAAAATTTAACTAACCCATTATTGTTGGTCGATGTTCAGGTGTTTTTCTTAATGTACTATTCACAAGATCTTGAGCTTCTTCACTAAATGTTGTTGGTAATTCATATTTTTCTTGTGTAACTTTACTCAATGTTCCATGAACAGCTTAAAATAATATAATGAATTTCATATTTTTTTTTTTTATCTATCAATCAAAAAAAAAAAACTAAATACAATACATACTATCAGTATCAAATGGTGGACGTCCTGTTAATAATGTAACAATAAGAATACCTAATGACCATACATCCGTTGCAAAACTATGTGGATTTCGACTTGCTATTTCCCTAAAGAAATAAGAAATTATTTTCGGAAATTAGAAAAAAAAAGGAATCTATTCATTTACGGAGATATATAATTTGGTGTTCCACACATTGTTTCATTGGTTTGTTCACGTGTTAATGGTAATTTTTTTGCCAAACCAAAATCCGCAATTTTCTATTAAATTTTATATTTTTTTTTTTAATAAGTAAGTCACGATCAACCTTGATCAATCGATAGTTGCCGATTGGATTAGGTTTTTATATACATTATAGAAGCAAATGTCTTATGAATTTCTACACAAATCATTCGAGAAAAATAAAGACATTTAAATTTTCCTCAGGTATCAAAAAAGTACATTTTTTTTTTTGTAACAGATATATCTCATCATCGGATTGTATTAAAGAGTTAACATGTTTGATTAGTGAGAGATTTTTCAATGAGTACTTACTATGGTAAAAATTTCAACCTTGTAGATAGAATTTCTGTCGCTCAGAACTCATATAATTAAAAAAATGAACATTTTAATCAAGTAAATGGAATGAAAAAAAAAAATTTGGTTGTCAAAACCATGAAATTGAACTGATGAAAACGTTCATTTAAAATGTATCAATTTTTTTTGTTCATTTTCATGATTTTAATGCGGTTTTGCCTTTTTATTTTTTAAACTTAAAGAGAGATCTTTATTAAAAATATGATTGTACTTCAAACTACGATTATCGAAGAGATCAATCTAGAGAAAAATTTAGTCTATGAAAGTTGTACGTTTTTAAACTATACACTGATCTACGAAGTCTTATTAACAAACAAACAATTCTTTGATCGTCTATTCATTAACATATATAACTATTTTGTATATCACAAAAATTTTTTTTGTACAATTCTTCGTAAACTCGCGGGATGTTTGGATCAACAAATTTTTTTGTCATTTTCAAAAAGAGTTAATTTTTGAACGGTTTCAATAAATTGAACAGAGAAAAGAATTCATTGTAGTGCTTCTCTTTTGATAAGGTTGCATAGATTATTCTACAATATTTCAAGCTGATTCTTGCAAGGCTTTATAGTATCTTCGATTTCTATAGATCAAAGTTCTTCTAGATCGATCTTTCATAAAATCATGATTTTGAACACAATTAGAACTTTCGCAAAGGTTCTTTCAATGATCGCCCAAGACAAGCAATCCTTGCACAGGATTCCGGTCAGGATTTCGTCGGAATCCGATAAAAACTGACGAAATCCGACAGAATCCTATCGGATTTTGCACGTGTCCGATCAGATCCGACAGTCGGAATCCGGCTCATGGGATTCCGACAAAAAGCCGACAGGATCCGACCGAGCGAGAATCACCTGGGTCTCTCTTTAATGTGATCTACTCATGAAATATGTATATAAAAACCAATTCAATCGATTTCCATCAATTGAATAGAATCGATATGATTTAATTTAACATACCACATCGAATATATCAGTCAAAAGTAAATTTGAAAGTTTAATATCACGATGTAAAATTCCATGACTATGTAAATAGACAAGACCATCAACAACTTGTTTTGTAATATTTCGAGCTTAAAAATAATAAATATATATACATATATATTTGTTAGATATATGTTTTTTTTTTCATACTTTCATGTTCACTAAGTGTTTTTTTCTCTTGTAAATAATGTTCAAGATCACCATTCGAACATAATTCAAGTATTAAATAAACATATTTATCATCACAAAAACAATTTAATAATTCAACTATATTTGGATGTTTAACTTGATGATGTATTGTTATTTCAGCATTTAATCTATCAAGTAATGATGTTGAACGTGAACTAGGTATTGGATGACGATGATTTGGATATGATGGAAAATTATGAAGATTTTCTTGTTCTAATTTTTTTCTATCAATCTATTTTTAATGATAGAATTTTTTTTTTTTTGAAAATTAATTTAAATATAATTTTTTTTTATTTTTTCTTACCATTTTACATGCTACAAGAAGATCATCGGATTTTCGACGTGCAGCATGTACAGTTGCAAAACCACCTTTACCAAGTATATGAGATACTTCATAGTGCTAAAATAATATCAATTATTATTTTTTTCATCTATAGAATCTTATTCATGCATATTTCCTTTTCTTTTTTTTTTATTTAGAGTCAAAGATAAAAAATATGTCAAGTAGAAATAGATTATCGAATAAATCAAAATTGAATCAATTGATTCAGATGATAAGACATATTTATTGATGTGTATAATTTATAATCGAGATAGAAGATAATATAAATAAAAATGTCAATTCCGGAGTGATGCTTAAGAATAGTCTATTAGTTTATTGAACTATAAATTCGAGTATTACTTTAATTTCGATAAATTAGAAATTCTTTATGCTATTTATATATATATTTATTTTTATAAATTGATTGTAAAATTTTTCTTTCTTTATAGAAATAAGATTCAATGTACTCAATATAATGACTTTGCAAACAATTATATTCTATAGTTTTTTTTTTTTTTTTAGTATACTATTAGTTCGTGTTTCTATTGCTTTTTTTTGTTGTTGTCTTTTCATATACCAGAGAGCAAAACGAATAAAAACAAATTTTTTTAATCAAAAGATATTCAATGATATACACATATGTATTGTATTTATTATCATTTTAGTCTATTTTGAATTAAATTCTTCTTTGTCTACTTGTTATTCAATACAAAAGAATTTGCTTTGTACGGTATGTAAGCTTTGAATAATTGATACTCAACAAATCAAACCGCATATGTACTCAAACACGCACATATAATGTGTAAGAAGAGATGAAAATTTCTTTCTTTCTTTCTTTTTGTCCCTATAAAGTCAAAGGAACAAAAAAAAAGAAGAAGAAGGAAATCTCGATTCCTGATAATAATTATTGCTTTACATATATACATGAGTTGACCATTGAAATAGGATCGTTAAAATGAAGAACAAGTTATAAAAAAAAAAAAAAAAGAATTGTAGTATTAGTCTTTTTTTTTTTTCTTGTTCTCTATTATCGATGTAGTCACGCCAACAACTTAGCTTGTTCGTGCGTGTTCAATCTTGAACGAAACCTTTTTTTTTTGTTCTTCGAAGAATTTTTACGTCATCTTATCTCAACTAGCTACTCTTATATGTATACAAGAGCAGTAAGAAGACCTCGATGTGTAGTTATAAATCGAAAAAAAAAAAAAAAAAGAAATTTCGTTTCTTCTCTCCTAGTGATGGACACTTGAATTGAGTGTCGGTGGAAAGAAAGAGAAAGCAAAACCACCGCCACTATCACCACTACTACATCATTACGCATACAAACATAAATATCTCGAATTTCGTTTACACATATGCTCACTCTTTTGAGCCAAAGTTCACACTTTTCTTTCGTTTTCGTTTTTTTTTCTTCTTTTTGTCTGGAAGGAAAAGAAAGGAATGGATGGGATGTGTATTATTGTAAAATATAGAAATTTAATCAAATGAAATAGTAAAAAAGAAAAAATTTTTTTTTTGAAATGTTACTTACACTAATTTTTTCGTCATGGGAAAACATAGGCACAATGCCAGACCGCATTTTCTTTTTCTTCTATGATGTTTTAATATAATAAGAACTACACATCCACAATTACGTTTGTGTATATTTGTACAATCAATAATAGTTCCATTGATCTATAATAAATAAAATTTCATTTAATAGATACCTCTCAATGTCTTTTTATTTTAAGATGTATGAAGTATAAATCAGACGAAATAAAACGCAAGTAAGACACACAATAAGAGAGAGAGAGAGAGAGAGAGAGAGAAAAGACAGAAAAGAGAAAAGCAGGGAATCAAAAAAAAAAAAAAAGAAGAAGAAAACGAGAGAACTTTTCTCACGCAATCATTGAGTACGAGTCAGTAGTAAAGAATTGTAAGACAAAGAAATACCAAAAAAAAAAACACACCGTGAAGAAAAAGAAATTGATGGATGTGAATATCACCATAACAACAGACTCGATTCATATTTATTCTTATAATCATTAATATAAGAATAGTTGTTTATTAAAATAAAACTAAACATCATTATTATTAGATGAATATATATATATATATCATTTTATTTCAAAAATAATATCAAGTTTTTAATGATACAGAGGGCGCTATTAGATAGTTTTATTGAAATTTTAATACGGATGTACTTGTTGTCTGAGCTACTCTTTTTTTTTCTTGAAGAAACGAACACCAACCAAATGAACTTATTCTTTTTTGAACATTAAGAACGTTATCTTAGATATTCTCTTAGTGTTTTGTAATAATTTAAAGAGAGGTTTTTTTTTTTTTCGATATTTTACCTTTTGATAAGAACATAAAAAGAAAATATGCTGTTTCTGTTCTTTAAGGTCAGTTTTATAAATGATACTTTAAATAGAAAATTAATTTTCTTGAAACTACAATTTCGTTGATATCAAAATATTATAGTTGTTAATTAATGCTTCTCACGTCTTCTTACGGAAATTCCACGTCACGCATTACTTTAATAGTCATATTATTTGATTTATAAAAGTATATATATACATACAGATGATGAATGACAATTCAATTAGTTATTTTCAAATAGAAAATGGACGATGCTGAATTGATCTCAGAAAAAAAGGATGAAAATGATCTCGGAGTGCTTAATTAATAGAAAAAAATGATGAAAAGATCTTGGAAAAAAACTCATTAACCGAGAAAAGGTGTAAATTAGAGAAAAAGATCTCGGTTGCAATATGTTAAACAGACAAGCGAAGTATGCCATCCTAGTTTATGTGTATACTAATAAACAGAGTGCATAGTGATAAAGAAACACAATAATGTTATATTTTTAATACAAAATATATATGAAAATGTTAATAAAAAATCAGTCTTTGGGCAATGCGTATTTCATTTTTTTTTCTGCGTCTTGTACAATTCCTTTCTCCGATTAACTGTGAAGTTGTTCGAACTTCCCAAATCATCATAAAATCTATTGAATAAATACACGAATATTGTTTCAGATTATATTTACAAGAACAGAATATTGGAGGTAGACATTTAAAATTCGTACAGATTCCAACTACTGTTTGAAATGATCATATGATAACCAAGACATAGACTAAAAATAGTGTACGCAAGTATGAGTAGTCATTTGAGACTCAGATTCTTTAACAATAAATGTAAATGCATCTAACTGTAATATTTCGCTTCTATCAACTTTATAAATTCAATCATAAGCTTTAACATCCAGATCAGCATCCGATACTAGTCCCTATATAATGATATATGTAGGAAAAAACCGAGATCTTTTTCTCTAGTTTACACCTTTCTCTGTTAATGAGTTTTTCCGAGATCTTTTCATTATATTTTGTACTCGGAAAAAAATGAGATCATTTTTTCCATAGAAAATTCTCTATATTTTTAATTTAAAATGATTTTTTTTCATTTTGAACATGATGATAAGTGTTTAACGATCAGTAATGAATATATATGATGGTTATAAATGATTACGTTGAGTCGTCATATATCTCTTGTATTTATGTATACAATGATAGATTATCATTATAGGACATCATGCAACGTTTTTTTTTTTTTTTTGATAGAAAAAGTGATTAACTTATTAAAACTTGATAAACGTTATCATTATAAAAACAGCATCTCAATTGAAATTTTTTAGGTTCTTTGAATCTGATATAAAACGAAATATTTCGAAGTGTCAAATTGTTTTTGAGTTAAAACTATAGGGATCATATAAGTTCTAATAAGTAATGACTACCTTGAAAAAAGTTCAGGCTAATAGGTTATTACGATTGTGATCCTCTTGGGAAAACTAAATTTTGAGCATCTATTCCAAAATAAGAACATCACAATTTTCTGTTGTATATAAGTAACATGAAAAAATAACATGCTTTTATCATAGCTAGATCTTAAGGTAGAAGGAATTAAAAGACTTGAAATTTTTTAGAATACATCAGCCTTCTCAATTGAGAAGCAACTTAATACTTAGAAACGTTTCTTCTCTATTTTCCTTTTGAACTCTTCGTAATTTTTTCCAACTACTGAGCAGATCATGTTTCTTGATGAGACAAAAGTTACGTAATTTTCTAATTGAGGATTCTTTTTAAAAGTGTGAAAAGAAAAATTTTCTCTTTTGAGCTATCGAAAACAAAAAAAAAGGACCACCAACTGTTTGTAAAAGAAAATTTCAACAGAGAAAAACAGTATGCAAGAAAAAGTTTAAATCAAGAGATATGTCCTTGCTTCCTCATCACTCAAAATTGTACTTACTAAAAAACTGTAGTCTGATACGTTATATACTGAAGAAGAATAATTTTTTACAAATTTTAGAATATGTTTAGTCAAAATAAATAAATTCAGTTTGATAGAAACAAGATAGAGAACTGTGGTTTTTACTATTAGAAAAGTGGATATGAAACTCTTACGAAAAAAAAAGTTAAATTTTCTTAAAAAATCACGAGATACTTTAATGATAGAATGTCGATAACTTCTGAATGACTAAAGAAAATTTTCTACGGTCGACATAGTTGTATAGGTCTTCGTTTGACAATTCTAATACACTTCTGAAAATTTAAAAATTCATTGTAATGAATGAGCGTAGAGTAAATTAGTTTACAGAACTTTTAAGGATTTTACACTTTCTATATTTTGTATTTGCATAATGAAGTTAAAGAAGCCTTTTGAGTTTCACATCTATAACTTCATAGAAATTTTTAATGCTGAATCTTCTACACAAAAATTTTCAATTGATCAATTGCTTTTGAGTTCGAACTGTATATGGAAGGTAGATCTCAATGAGATATGAAAAACTTCAAAATTCTAAATGTCCTGTTCTAAGAGAAAAGTTCCTTCATGAGAAACTCATTTATTCCGCTGCACCTGTTAGATCAGTTTGGTTCTCAAAACAAAATACATAACCCAATTTCTTCTCTATTTTAAACATAAAGCGTTGATGTCTGATCTGTAAACTTTCAAACAGCAATAATTCTAAATCGCTGAAACTATCAATTAATAATATTCATGATTTAAAAAGTTTTCTTTTTTTTTATTATTTTTAGTATCCTTCGTTATTTAAAAATCAAGAAAATTGTTACATTATTTGTTTTCATTTTTGTAATCTTAACATAATCCATAGACTAATCGTCTAAACATTGATTGTCATTTATTCTTATTCACGCCTTATTCTTTTCATATTATCAAACGATAATGTTTCAAATTGCTTGCAGATATATATATATGTATATGACATCACACAATAAAATAAACTTTCTCATATATATATGTATATTTATATATAAGATTGATGAGTATGATTATATTATTTGTCATACTGTATCATTATCAGTCATGTAATCATAATAAACACGATACATTTTTTTTTTCCTTAAAGATATACAAAAATAAAGAAGAAAAAAAACAAAACAACGGGTCGAATATTACGTCAGACTCGAGTAATCAGCATAGTTAGTAATAATAGATGTGAATAATGAAGAAAAGAACCACTGTTATATTGCTTATCTTGTTTTTCTAATTTTTCTACATCATTATCGCCTTTATTGACATTCCAAATAATCGGTAGTTTACGATGATAGAATGGTATTCGATCTTTCCAATTAGGCGTTGTTGTTATTCGTTTTGTTGTTGTTATTAAAATTGGTTGTTCAGTAGTCGACGCTTCTTCAGATTCATCATCACTATATAAATCTTGATCACCATAATCATAATAAGCAGTATTTGTATCATCCTCAAATGATATATCATCATTCATGAAAGTAGTTATAGTTGTCGTTGTAGTTGTCGTGGTTGTTGTTGTTGTTGTTATTTTCTTTCGACGAGTTGTTGTCGTTGATGTTGTAGTTATATCATCTGTTGAATCTTCATATGCATAATCCGAATAATCAAATTCATTATCATTTGGATAATCATCAAAATCAGTAGGTTTTAATGTATCAGTCAAATTTTGTATGATGATATCTATTTTTGATTCATTTACTATTGATGAAATTGTTGTTGGATTAATATTGAGTACTACATAGAAGAAAAGAAAAACTAGATATAGATCAATAGTTCTATAGCTGGTTAAATGCCTGAGAGATCAAATATCAAAGAAGTTAACTTATTCAATATTCTTAAGAAATCAATTGCTATTTTTCTATATGAAGCTATTGAATACAAACCTGACGTTGTCCGATGTAGATTTCCAATAATTTGTGATTTTTGTTTTATTTCTTTTAAAATCCATTGTAATTTTAAATTTAATGGTTTATCATAATATAATTGAACAGAAGATCTAAACAACAAAAAAAATTAAATACGAAAAAAAAAAAAACATTTCATTCTCAAGTTATTTTTTTTCTCATTCATACTTTCCATCTTGAGATATTGACGTGCCTGTCCAACATATTCGTTCATTTAATTCTGAAATTCCTTTTGATTTACAAATTTGTTCAGGTAATTTCATCCAAAATAATCGATATGTCTGTAGTGATTGACTCATATGTATTAGTTGTTGATCTAATAAAGATAATGATAATGTTTTACTATATTCATCATCATATTTTTGATCGATAGCAAATGTTTGACGTCGTATACGTATATGTCCACATTGATCGATGATCTTTATATATATATACATTTGAATATCGAATAGAATATTTTATCTATATTATATACATACATTCTTATTTGTTACTCCACCTGAATTAAAAAAGGTCATAACAGCATCTGATATTGATAAACCAATTGATGATAAAATTTTTTCAATATTATTAAAATAACCAATATTCTCAATAGAATCTAAAGAGAAATTCAATAAAATAAATAATATTATTTTATATATATATATTTTACCAAGAAAAATTTTCCATGTATTATCAATTAATGTTATATTAACAAGACAACTTTCAATAACATGCATACAATTAGATAAACATGGTAATTCATTTCGTCCACCACATAAATTACAATATGATAATTGCATATAAGAATCAATACAATGATAATCTGTTGTAACACTCTTAATAGAAGCAAAAGAAGTGTGAAAATAACACATTAAAATTCTTTTTGTTTTGTTTTTATGTTTTACTTTTTTTTTTATACAACAAATAAAAATTCAAAAATTAACGAAATGTATTTCTCACTCTTGTCATGTTTATATATATAAATGAGATCATTCAGATAATTGATATACATTTTTCTATACTAGACAACTCATTTTTGTGAATAATTTGATACGGGCATTTCGTTATATTAAAAAAAAAACAATGTCGGTCAAGACAATTACACGTTTGAATAATCCTATCATCATATTCTCATAAAAGAATTTTCTATGGAAAAAAGAATATATTTACTGTAGATAAAATTTGAATAAGTTCATAACTTAATTTAAATAATTCATTTAATTGAAATATTTTACCAAAATTAATATCTAATTGATTTTCAATTAAATTTAAATGATTACCAAATGGTTGATTTTTCCATAGACATGAAAAATATATTGGTAATATTATTGTTTTATTATTATTTAATGTTAATGATATATGTAATATATTACGAAATAATTCATCAACATATTTTTTAATATCATGTTGATATGTACGATAAGTTAATGTTAAAAGATTATTAAAAAATTTATCTATAGATAAATAATATGATTGATAAAGTTTATTATAAACACGTTGTAAAATAAGATGTGTTTCATTACGAGATATTTCAATCAATTTTATAATTGTATCTAAATGAATGAAATAGAAAAAAAAAATTTAGAAAAAAGTAAATTAACATACGATTTAAATCATTAGTTAAACGAACTACTTGTTCATATAAATTAATTGTATTTAATTCAAATAAATGATAAAGTTCAATAGCTGTTGCATTTTGTATATGATTTTCATAGATTTGTGGACAACAATAATTATGAATAAAATTTTTACATAAATAAAGACCTGTAAAATTTTTTTCTATTATATTTATATGAATATTATATTTATTTAATTTATTATTTAATTGAAAACATTCATTTTGTTGTTGTTGTTGTTGTGTTGAAATAAAATTAATTAATAAACAAATAAGATATAAATAATAAAACATAGCTTTTTTTACATTCAACAAAAGATGTTTGCCGTCAAAAAATTTGTTTTTTCTTTCTTCTATCGGTTATGTTTGTTATTGAGAGAAAATGATATCCATCGTCGACGGAGCGTGTATATTGTGTTGGACGATCGGACGAATAAACTGGATGGTCTCTGCTCTCTATGTTTAATGCTATGTGTGTGTATTTGCTTCCAACTGTTCATTCTTTCTTCAAGAGAGAGAAGAAGAAAAGAGAAGGAATGCAACACATATACTTCTCTTCTTTTTTTTTTTTCTTTCTTTCTCATTTGCCTTTTCTTTGTGTGTTACATTGTTGAATCCATTATTGAGACAAATGTTTAGAAAGGTTGCGTTCATTGATAAGAATAGAAATGAAATCTAGTTGAACATAGATGGCAAGTTTCTCTTTTCGTTTTGTGATATAATAAATTTTTGTAAGAGATATCTTAAATCCTTTCTTGATCGCCTTCGGGGTTAAATAAAATTTTGACATATTGAAAAAGCATCTGTTCGAATATATATATATATTATTTTTCCTTTGGTTTGTGGAAATTATGCAATATGTATTTTGAAATGATGTTAAATCAGTTTAATTAAATTAGAAAGAAAATATTAGAATTTGTTTAATTGTTGTTAGCAGAGAATTGATGATTTTTCTTATTATAATACAGAAAACTAGCTGTTGTTTTTATTAAAAGATATGATCTATTTAGTAATTCGAAAAATAAAACAAACAAGAGAATTTCATTAATCATTCACTCATATACACTAGCAAATTTGATGTTCTTATTTCAGGATAGAAACAAGAAAAAGATTTAAAATTATCATAATAAAGAATCACAGAAATTAACAAAGAGTATATTCATACGGGAATAGAATTTACACGATAGTATATTTGAATGATGTTCATAGGAAATGTATTAAGATAAAAAGAAGTGATCAATCTTGACTATTAGAAGATAATTATTTTTTTATCAATGTAGAAGTCTCGTCTTTGATCATATGGAGAAGAATACTGATAATTGCTATATGTCATTATTGTCTTTTCTTATCAACATTTCAGTTTGATTCTCATATACAATGATAATTTGTATTTAAGAAGTATAATCTTGAATATGATTGTAAAACTATTTTAAATGAAAATATGTTGTTTGATAAATTGAATTTCTTTATACAAAAAAAACTCATAATAATCCGTTTTAATATATCATTCAAAATGTAGTCATTGTTTTGATTGAAAATATAAGACAAGGAAAAAAAAATAAAGTTATTATAATTGATAAGTTATCTTTTGCCTGAGGTGTTACCTTTATTCATCTATTGACACATCACAGAGTTCATTTCTTTCTTCGTTTCGGTAAATATCTTTCTCCTGTTTGATCGAATTATAGATTAGATTGTGAGTATATTATTTTATTGTTTTGTTAACGTAGAGAATAGTTTGAAACAATAGATAAAAATGAGTTTATTTATTAAATTTATACGAATAAAGGTATAATTATATATTTGACATGAATCATATTGAATTCATTGATTCTTTCTTCTAATACTATTTTTGAGCAAGTCGATAATCTTCAACATGATCTTTAATTCAATAATCATTGAATATAAATTCACAGTCAATAGTTTTTTTTATTACTGATCAGTTAAATCGCAGTTTGTTTAGTGGACTATCTCTTTTAGACAAAATATTCGTTCATCTTCATAGAAATATATATAATAAACATATGTCGATAGATAAAAAATGATAATAAGGTCATGTTAGTAATATAGGATATTGTTCGACATTGAAAGAACAAAATCACTTGTTCGCTGTGGGAGATACGATATGTACTTATTTTAAATGAGATATAACTAATGATTGCTGATCAATCTAATTTTCGAAATTACACTAGATTTTCATATAGAGAAATTTGTTGAATATATAAAATTAGAAAATATCTATTGAACATATTGAATTTTATGTAAATATAACTTTTATTAGATACATCTATTCAAGATAGACAATCATTAATATACATATATCGATTTGTTATTTTAATGCAAAAATTAAATCATTAGAATTTGTTTCAAAGAATAAGACTCGCCTATCAAAACGTAGATCTCCGAATGTCTCAGATTTCAATTTTTTTTCCGTCAGTTTGAAAATCAATGTTTGTGTTTACTATAAGAATAGAGAAATCTCATCGATTATGACGAGTCAAATGAAGATTTGTTCGTACTTATATAGCATTTAAAAATTTGAATCTACAACGAAAAAAACATATGAGATGTGAGTATCCATTTCACTCATTCATATCCACACCTAGCTGCTTCAATAGACAAAAGGTGAGAAGAAGAAAGGCATGATTATAAATGTAAAAGAGTGAAGCTGAAGAAAGAGAAAAGAATGCATACTTATGTCAGAAGGCATCTCTTCTGACGTAATATTGCAAAAATAATAACATAATTAAATAAATACTCAGAGAAAAAGAAATACAGGATACGAGTACACTTGTTCGAAGACTTGCATTGCTTATTATTTCACATATTTATGCTAGATTTTGCACCGTGGGAAATCTTAGAAGAAATTCAAAAGGTATGGAACCAGTGAGTGGCTCATGATGAGCGCTAAATAAACAAATAAGGTTGACACAAGCATTCAAGGTTCCTGGAAGAACATTCAATTAGAATTTATTTTCTGTCTGGATATAAACCAATATTTTCGTGTCTCAAGACTTATAAAAACACACTGTATGTCTGTGCTCAAAGAACTTTTTCAGAAAAATAATCCTTGTAAAGAATAGAAGTCAAGCAAAATATATTTATATCTTGTTTTGCCTGAAATGGCTTCTGTAAGTTGTATTGTTATCAATGTATTGGTTTATCAATTTTTCGAAAGTCATCAAGACAGATTTTTCAAGTTTCACATTTAATCTCATAAAAAAAATCATATCTAAGAAAAGCCTATTCTCTTAAATTAATATTTTCGAAATTTAATAAAGAGTTTTAAAACGTTTATAAGCAGCACGTTCTAATGCTTCACGATGATTAGGATGAGCTATATCAATTAATGCTTTAGCTCGTTGTTGATAGTTTTTACCAAATAAATTTGCTACACCATATTCAGTTACTACATAATGAGTATGAGCTCGAGTTGTGGTTACACCAGCACCTTCTTTTAACTAAATATACAAAGCAACATTAAAAAAGAAACTCAAAATTAACATTGAAACTTACTGTATTAACAATACGTGATATTCCTTTTGATGTTTGCGATGGTACAACAAGAATTGGTTTTCCTTTTGCACTTAATGCAGCACCACGCATAAAATCGATTTGTCCTCCGACACCTGAATAATGCATTGTACCTATTGAATCTGCACAAACTTGTCCAGTAAGATCAACTTCGATCGCAGCATTAATAGCACACATTTTTGGATTTCGACGAATTTGTGATGGATCATTGGTTATTCCAACATCCAAATTAATTACTTTTGGATTATCATTAACAAAATCATAAAGTTTTCTTGTACCCATTATAAATGTACATGTTGTTATTCCAGGATGAAATTTTTTAAAACGATTTGTTACAACACCTTTTTGCATTAATGTCATAACACCATCAGATATCATTTCTGATGCTATACTTAAATCTTTATGATTTTCAAGAGATTTTAATACACAATCTGGAATTGTACCAATACCCATTTGAACTAAACATAAAAATTTTCGATATGAGTAAGTCATTGTTTTAAGGTTTAGGTTCCAAAGAACGGATTCATATTTTAAAAAATTTCTGATTAATGATCGACAAAAAAAAAAGAATATTTATGAATTTTTCTATTACTTACGTGTACTTCCATTATCAATTAACTCAGCTACACGTTTTCCAATTGTTATTTCAACATCGGAAACTTCTTTTGAATAATCTACTTCAATTAATGGTTCATCATGTTCAACATAAGCATCCATTTGATTCATATGTACAAATGTATCACCATGTAC